CCCCAAAACCCCAAAACCCCATAACATATGATAGTTAGTTTCTTTTAGAGGTTTAATATAAATAAAATAAATCCAAAATATAAATAAAATTAAAACCGTAAGAGGAAGTTAAATAATTGATTTGATAGAAAGCTAAATAATTGATTTGATAGAAAGCTCTTAAATTAATATTAAATCAAATTATATAATAAATGGGTTTACTATGCTCAAAGCAACTTGAATCTGATTTTAATCAGGTATCAAGCACTTCCAGTGGAAATTCTGTCAATAGAATCAACTCTATTTTTAAATGCGGTATAAATACAAATAACCATCTCCTAATAATATTTAGAGAGAACACTGATTCTTTTGGAAAATCAGCTTAAAGTTTTGCATAATAAGATTAAGATCCTAGGAGAAAAGTTAATTGAGTTCCATAAATTGACTCTTTTGCCAAAGATTGAAGCACTTAAACTGAAGCTCAACAAGCTCTAAAAAGAAGATTCAGATTAAAATATAACAAATAATTAGACTTTCAAAAATATGGTAATGTTAATATGCATTAAACTAAAATCTAATCTTTTCTTATCCAGAAAACATTTCTCATTCTAATATTAATTTAGGAAGATCTTTGTAAAGAGAGTCTAAATTTGCAAGAGTAAATGAATGAGCTCTATTAGCAAGAGAAATAGATCGATAATAACTTTGGATCACTCGATTCTGATAATTTTCCTAACAAGGAATAATAATTAAAGGCTATTGAAGAATATTTGTCCTAAATGATTCCGATTTAAGATATGCATAATAAAATTGATGAAGGCTTCAAATAACTATTTGTCAAGTTTTTGGGGTTTAATGATGGGGCAGAGACGATTTATTATTATGAATCAAATTTAACCAAGATAGACAAGGCTTTTGGCAATTTTTCAAAGAAGTATTTGCATTTAAAGTTAGTTTTTAATGATTTACTCATGTTATCAGAAGAGTATTTTATTGACAATATAAATTATGATGAAAGATTTGTAGCTAACTTTATCGATACGATTAAAGCTTAATAAACTCTGCTGTAAGAATTAGATTAGGGTCATACAGACATGAATAATAAACTAGAATTGGTAAAAAGGGAAAGAGATTTAGTACAATAGACATATCTTTCAAATGAAGAAAAACTCGCAGAGTAATATGCATTAGTTTTAGAACTTGTAAATTAATATGAAATTAACTTAGCAAAGTTCAGATCAATCAAAGAGTAGATTGATCTTTTTACAAGCACTTTAGGAGATTTCAACATTTTATGGGTACATAATTTATAGGAGAACAGATATGATAGTTAAAAAGATTAGTATGAAGAGTTAAGATAAAAAATAGAGAAAAAATATGGTGAGTAACTCATAGGCGAAAAAGAGCTCGAGAAAAATTTATACTAGAAATTCATGTTGATTATAGAAGAGATTGAACAAATCTCACAAGGCTAATTTGACCTACTAACATAAATGAAGGCTGAAATATTAATTTCTTGTGAAATCGATATAATCCCTAATCTAGAGAAGATACCATTCTCCTAAAAAAAGGAGTTGGTAAATAATCAAAAGAAAATATCTCAAATCTTAATGTCCTCTGATATGCTTATGCTTAAACTTAGAATACAGCTTTTAAACTAAAAATTGTTTAAAATAATTGGCATTGTTGAGAACTATCTGAAGTAGTACAGTACTAATAAAGTTAACATCAAAGATCCAGAAAGTTTTGAAATCGCCTTCAAGGATTATGACAATATTAAAAAGAACTATCCATAAGAATTTGAGAAATTTATCCAAGAAATCAATAATGAAAATAACGAAAACTACTATTCTTTAATCTAATAAAAAAATAAAAATGAAAGTTTGGAAAATTTCTTTCAATAGCAAAAAGCCCTTCATTTTAGCTTGAAAGATATGAAATACTTTATTATTAACAATATGGAAGATATTTAAAGCTTTCAAATTACAAGAACTGAATTACTTTGGTAGGAGTTTATTGATAAGTATAAACCTACTATCAAAATCTAAAGAATGCAAGGTAATAATTACAGATTTGGAGACAGGTTAATCACTACAAAAATTATTGATGGTGAGTTATGTGTCAAACTAGGCAGAACATCAATTACATTAGAAAAGTATTACAATATACATTATTAAAAGGTAGAGGAATAGTAAAAAATACTAGAATTGACTCAATCCCTTTAAAAGAAGTAAGGCTTTGATTTAAATACCTATAATACTAACTCTTCCTCTGATACTAACAAAGCTATGAAGGTTTTTACTAAATTTGGTTAGCAATAGTTGCAATTTCTACAGTAGTAATAGTCAGATAGTATCTAACCTCAGAATCGTACACTCATGAATACTCCTTCTCCCAGCCCCTCTAGTCTAGAATTAAAAAAAATGTCTTCACCATTAAGTGATCCTAAAAATGACAAAGAACTTATAGGTTTGCTTAGAAAGTCAATAGCTTTGAGACACTCTCCTTAAACTAAAACTAATACTTTTGAGGGTTCAAATCATGCTGGAAAATTATAAGACTCAAAACAATAATAAAGAGTAATTTTTAAGTCAAGAAATATCAAAAATATTGAGCCTATAGTGAGTAAAGTAAGCCAAACTTTAACTCACAATTTTCTAAATCATCAAAGTTTAATTTCACCCAAAGGAAATTATCTCTCTGTGTAGCAAAATAACATTCCAAGACAGAATGGGGATCAAATGCAATTCAGTAGTAGAAATAGACTTAGCATTGCCTCATAAAACTCAGTCAAAGAAACTTAATCAAACGATTCTTCAAACCAGAGAGGTGGTGGAGAGTAGCAATCAACTATCTAAAAAATTTAGAGAAAGACAATATCAGATTTGAAAAAATGGAAAAACTTTTGATCATTTTATTGAAGATTAATTAAAAATAAGTTGATAATTATGAGATGGCAGATTATATTCAATGATAAAATAAATTTTAAATAAATATTTTTATTAAACTCTTGATTAGATTATTATCATAGTGGGGTTTTGGGGTTTTGGGG